TGCGGGCTTTTTTTTTTTTTCTTTTTTTTTTCGTGCGTTCAGCATCGACAGTGGAGGTGGTGATGCTGCTGGCCCAACGCGGATGCCGGTCTGGTATTTTTCCACTGCCGGTGCTCTCTCTCTCTCCTCCCCTTTCCTTCCCTCCTCCCTTCCCCCCCCCCCCTTTCCTCGTCTCCTCTCCCTCCTTTGCCTCCTATTTGGCTGAAACTCAGTCACGTGACCCGGGATTCGCGCAAAGGACGGCGCTTTTGAAATATTGATTATTCTACGGAGTGCGCGGTTATAAATAAGGAGCTGGTGCGGGATGGGCATGACGCAGGAGAGAGAGAGAAAAAAAAAGAAGACAGTGGGAGAACTCATTTTCGCTCTGTTTTCCAGCATCCAACATGCCCTCTGAGAAACAGCCCGCCGCTAAGACCGAGATGAAATGTCTAGGCGCCCCCCAGGAGGAGGACAGCAGCAGCACCAACAGCAATGACTACCCCTACCCAAACTTCCCCAAGAAGGTCCCCCAGTACGGGTGAGTCCACGCTCCCCGTCTGATGCCGCTCCTCACGCACATTTTCTCGAAATTGTCGGCTGATCTTTCGTTTTTCTTTAATTTCCTTTACGAAGCCAATACCCCGATTTGGACGCAGAGAGTCAAAACTTCCTCCCAGACCACAAGACGGGCAAGAAGAAGTATGAGACGGAATATGTAAGAGCTGCTTTTAACCTTTGTCTTTGAATCGGCCGTGTTTTGGTTTTTTAATGGGTTTTATTTCACAGCCCCTCCCTGACTGACTTTTCTTGATTTTCCTCCACAGCACCAGGGCAACGCTTCCTTCGGCATGTCGGTCTTCAACCTGGGCAACGCCATCATGGGCAGCGGCATCCTGGGGCTGTCCTACGCCATGGCCAACACGGGCATCGCCCTCTTTGTGTAAGCGTCCCGCCCTGTGGTAACCCCGGATTCGGGTTTGGTCTGCTCCGTCAAGGTCTCGGGATGTACTCAGATGTACTCGAGCCCATGAGGATGGGTTTTGTTTTTGTTTTCTGAGCATCTGTTTGACCCTGAGGCAGAGGCTGATTATACTGGGTTCAAAAGTTTACAAAAGTCCTCCCCTGATACGGCTTCCCCACTCGCTATCGTGTTTGCTGGAGATAAAAGTTCCAACAATAAAAGTCATTTTCTGAGACAGAGGGGGGAGAAAACCAGAGTGCTCTCTACTGGCTTCTTTTCCTTTCGTTTCTGTCGCGCCGTTGTGAGCGACCCAAAGCTAATTTTGATATTTGTTCACGGTTGACCCTTAAATTCGATAGGATGCGCAACAGCCCCGAAGCGAAAAAGGTGAAAGGTTGGGATTGGTGGAGTAAAGAAGATCGTTTGTTCGTAGGGGCTAAAGCCAGATGACAGTTGTAGGTCACTTCACATGGACAGGCGGTGGAGGGAGAAGCGGCTTAGCCGAGCTAATCCCGTCGCCACGGGGTTGCGTAATTGGAAGGAGAGGATCATGAATGAAAAAGAGATTTTTTTAAATGTTTTTTTTTTTTCAATCAGTCAGCAACTGACCAATCCGAGCGCAGCATCCGCAGGAAGTTGCGGATTACAGGAAGCTAATAGCTACTTCACATCTGACGCATTCCTTAATGTTCGCTGCTCTTTTCCGCTTGGGGAAAGAAAGAGAGCCAGTAAAGCGGTTTTCCAATGAAAATATTTCCCCTCTCTTGATTTAAGTTTCTCATACCCATAAAAAGGACGTTTAAAACATTTAGAAATATCAAGATATCTTCCGATATGAGAGTGAAGCAGGCAGGCGGGGATCAGTGGCCGCTAAAGCCGGTGGACGGTCACATGCAGAGGGGAAATAATGCCTCTTTGCATGGCGAGTCCCAAATGGCAGACAGATTAATTTTCAGCAGGACTATTTATACCGCCAAACGAACAGTGCTGCCTCCGCAGGATCCCGGGGGCGTTAAGAGGATCCCGAACTGGGAAACCTTTCGTCCTTTGCAGCCCTGCTGATGCTGCTTGTGATCCACAGGACTGACCCCAGTGCCTTTGCTTGTCGGGCTGACAAAAGGGGGAAAAATATCGGTTGCCTACCAACGGGGATATCCTACCCATATCCTATCCTAACCTCGCTGCTGAAACGAGGAGTCACGTTTAATAGTGTTGACTATGGCCATCACCACGGTGGTGTGGTGGTTATTGCCATCGCCTCACAGCGAGAGGGTTCTGGGTTCCAGTCCCCCGGGGGAACCAGGACCTTTCTGGTTCCCACCGTCGCAAAAATCTGCATGTTAGGTTGATTGGCTATTCCAAATAGCCCTTAGGAGTTACTGTGATTGTGCGTGGTTGTTGGTCCTTGTGTGTCTCTGTATGGCCCTGTGATGGAGTGGCGGACCATCCAGGGTGTACCCCGCCTCTAGCCATTTGACCACTGGGATAGGCTCAAGTCCCCCCTGCAACCCCATAAGGGAATAAGCTGTTCTGCTTATTGGATGGATGGATTCCAAAAGGAAGCCATCTCTGATCATCCGGTCATGAGATTCCAGCCGTTAAAAGAGTTGCATATTAGAGCAAATCTTCCGCTTATCATTGTAGCTGTGGTGATTCTTCAGCTTAAGCTCATCCTTTTTATTTTTTCTTCTCGCAGGATTCTGCTCGTGGCGGTGGCCATCTTCTCCTTGTATTCTGTCCACCTGCTGCTGAAGACAGCCAACGAAGGAGGTAGGCACAGCTTCATTGGCCAGCCGGCTTTAAGTCCGAATCTGTTCCTCACCCACGGTTGTTTTTCTTCCTTAAAGGCGCACTGGTGTATGAGCAGCTGGGTTACAAAGCCTTCGGGATACCAGGCAAACTGGCGGCCTCCTGCTCCATCACCATGCAGAACATCGGAGGTAAGGGACATTTCCGCGCCGTTCTCTCCGTGCTTACATAAGCCAGTTTGAACTTCTCTATATTTATCTCCTCTGCTTATTTGAGGAGCAAAAACACTGGGCCTCAGTGTTCTCTTGGAGAAAGTCTGACTAAGCTTGGCCAATGCCTCTGGAGTAGCTTCCAGTAAAAGCGTGACGTCATCGTTCTCTCTTTCTCTGGAACATCTGGGTTTTTTCACCGAATGTCACAGTTCGCAAAACGAGCTGTCGAGCAACCCCATAAAAGCACGACTTTGCCTGTGTTTTGTGCCAACCGGTGTCCTTTTCTTCCCGACAGCCATGTCCAGCTACCTCTACATTGTTAAATACGAGCTTCCCATCGTCATCCAGGCTTTTACGGGAACCAGCAACGGGTGAGTGGCTCCATATTTCTAACACCACCACACATCTGCAAAGCTGTCTGCTGAAAATAGGCTGATTTGTGAGTGTTTGAAGGCTATTCCGCTGATAAAACACAGCTCCACAGCACCACTGCAGGGCAGAAACCCCAAATCTGTGGCTTTAATGTTCAACTTCAGCATAATTTGTCCCGCCGATCCAGTTTTAATTGTTTGCAGTTAGCAGAAAATCACAGAATTTTTTTTAAAGTGGCTCACGGAAATAAGGACAAATAGTCCCGAACCCTCAAAGAAGCCTGTGAGGGAAAAGCCGGACATCCAACTGATTGGATTTTGGTTGTGATTCACATCTGGCACTCTAACATAGAGCCGCAGTGAAGAGCCAAATCTCATTTAAGGGTTGTTTTTTTACATCCTGAAAGGGAGGTTTTCATGGGTTAGGCAGATGTCTGAATAATTAAACGTGCTGGCACAAAAATACTTTGGTGTTTTCAAACACAAAATGGATTCCTGGGATGAGACGCTAAGTAGAACGGGGACGCCCGGCGGAGGCATTTGAGGTGAAGCAAAATGGCCGCCGGCTGTTGTTTTTTTTCGAGTCCTGGCTCTTTCTATGGGAGCAGGGGAGGAGCGGAGGTAGCTAATGCCAGCACTCAGTTAGTCTGAGCTGAGCGGGCCCCTCAAAGGGGGCCTTTTTTTAGAAGTCGGTGTCGGGCCGCGACGGCGCTCCGGGGTGAGCTCACCGCTGCCCGGTGGCGTTCGGCGCTCTTTGTCGCCTCTTGTTTTGTGCGCGCGCCAGCCGTTTGTGAAGCTCGGGCTGTCTCCATCAGGCCCGAGGGTCAAAGGTCATTCGCCTCCAGGGCAAGATGAGGCCCGCCGTTTTTTTTATCAAAGCCCCAAACGCGCACGGTTGCCACTTTTGTTTGCGATAAATGCTCCTCGGGCCGCTTTTCGACCAATGCTGACGCGCCGCTTTTGTTTTTTAGGGAGTGGTACACCAACGGAGACTACCTGGTGCTGCTGGTGTCGCTGCTCAT